GAGAGAGAGGGGGAGAGAGGGAGAGAGAATGAGAATTTATCTTAGGAAAACAGTTCACACAGAGAAGCTGGCAAGTGCCAAGTTCCTGGATGAAATGTCAAACTGGAGGGTTTTCCTGACTCATGCAGCTGCAGGGGCTGAGGATCTGAGGAGCTCAAGGTTGGCAGGTGGTATAGCAGCTGCTGACTCTGGTGGACAGTGTCCAAGATCACCAGGCCGAATGGTGGATTGTTCACTCACAGATAGTTAGAGGCAACACAACAGGACCCAGATCCACAGAAGGTTCTCTCATTTTCCCAGGATGTCCATATATACATTGGAGGCAGGCCACACCCCTAGGGAAACTCCCTTTCAACGGATTGGCTGCTCAAAGCATATACATCCAATCTCATCATGGAAATAGCCACATCACAACTGCTTAAACCACTCAGACTCGTGGTCCAGCCAAGTTGACACACAACCCCAACTATGACAAGTGCCTTCCTGACTGTGGGCCTTACAACTCACAAGGTCCTGGGAATGTGGTATAGGGAGAGTATTTCAAGGCCACCATTTTGTTTTGTTTACTTTGATACAGCTGTTTTGCCGGCAGAGATTTTTGGTGTAGCCCCTTCGGCACAGAGATGTTGAGACCTTGCCCTTAAAAATGATCAACCTTCTAGGTTCTAAAATCTTCATTTATCAGGTACCATGCAAAACATAATCTCAGCACTGAAGGTCAGGGGCGGTGTTCGCGTAGGGAAGTGGTTGGTGGATGAGCTATGTGTAACCAAGGGGCGTGTCAGCTCACTCCTCCTGAAGAGGCTTGTTGAGTCATTGTAAGCAAAGCATCTATTCATCATTTGGAAATTCACTGAGAACTCGAATTCTCAGATTTCTCTCTTAACATTTATATACTATGGGGAGGAAGGGGAGTTTGGGTCACCGTGGGATTGTTGCTCTCAAATCTAGATGAACACAGATCTCCCATACCTTTCCCAGCTCTGTTCTTCCCTTTCTCTCAATATATGAATTTAAATATCCTGTATTGTGATAGTTTTGGGGAAATGGAAGGAGGTCCTCTTACAGGAGCTAGATATCAAAGACTTTCACAATGATACTTTTTTTCTGATTGTAAAAGTAATACATGTTCATAAAATATCAAAATGATGTAGAAATGAATGCTATGGGAAGTGTAAGACCCTCACTAATGGGGATGGAGTAAGAGTCAGGGTGTCTAGTGTGCACATTATGTATAGAAAGTTTTATCCTTTGCAGTGACCAGCTTTACAAAGAGCCTGAATTTAGATTTACTGTGTTCTCCCCAAATAAGATCACATACAGAGTCACTGAAGAGTTTGTCATCAAAGTCAGACACAACAGGATGAATACTTTATGACCCTCCTTCATGTGAAATACTCAGAACTGTCAAATGCATAAGGAGCAGAGGTGGTTTGTGGTTACCAGGCCAGGAGAGAGGGGAACGTGGGAGGTATTGCTTAAGGGGTGCCGAGTTTCTGTTAAAGACGATGAAGAAAATTGGAAATGAATATCGGTGATGATCGCACAACGTGGTGAACCTAACTAGTGTCAGTAAATTGGACATGCAGAGATGCTTGAAATTAGGACTTAGAAAAATGCAGATGTCTGGTTATATGTATATTCCACCACAAGAAAAATGTAAAACAGAGCTCATCACCATCCTGTTTCAATCATTAAGTCCAACATGTAAAAGACAGCACAAGAATTCTAACTCCATCATCACATTTCTTCATTTTTAAGAAACAGTGCTGTCACGAAGTCCCTGAGTCAGAATTGCCACTGTTGTAACAGGTCACTGTATTTCAAAATATCCTGCTTTTGACAGAAAAGCCCATTTCTTCCCCAATTTGTTGTAGGAGTTTTAGTCTCAGCTTAGAAGAATTACCCCCCAGGATGGCGTCAGAGACCCCTGGGACCCACAGCGCCCTATGCGTCATTACAGGGAGTTGTCATTTCTCTGTGTCAGTGGTGGGAGCCTGGCTGGGAGACCATTGGGTCGCTGTTAGGGGCTGACCTTCATCGTGATCCTATCCAGCAGAAGGTCAGGGGCTCTGTTCCCAGCCTCCTCCCCCTGTGCCAGCTCCCAGTATCCTGGGAGGAAGAGAGTGAGGGGTCTGAGTGCCCACCCAGTGATTGAGAGGCTGGAATCCAGACACAGACCCTCCATCACAGACTTATCCATCTTCTTGTAGCCCAGCCAGCAGAGGCGAGAACTGGGGGTGTGGAAAACCCTGTGCCTGGCAAAGCATTGAATCCCCCCCAGGTAGAAAAGCTTCAGAGTCTATGAGTGACTATAAGCCGGTGTCGACACTCCCATGCCTCGGTGTCAGTTTCCACCCAAGCACAGAGCGTTTCCTGTGCCTTTTCCTTTATTTCACAAGCCACATCTGTCACTTGCCCTCCGCGCTCCAGAAAAGAGAGTTGCTTCTCCTCCCAAAACCAGACAGCCAGGTCTGGCCCCTCCTGGCCATGACCAAGACCCCCAGTGACCACCTCCTGGACTCTCTGGAGGAGCTGGTGCCCTATGAGTTTGAGAAGTTCAAGTTCAAGCTGCAGAACACCAGCCTGGAGAAGGATCATCGCCGCATCCCCCGGGGCCTGGTGCAGATGGCCAGGCCGGTGAAGTTGGCCACTCTGATGGTCAACCACTACGGGGAGGAGGATGCTGTGCGGCTGACCCTGCAGGTCCTGCGGGCCATCAACCAGCGCCTCCTGGCAGAGGAGCTCCACAAGGCCACTGGCCAGGGTAAGGTGGAGCCCCCAAGCCTCTCATCAATGCGTGCTGGTTGCTGGCTGTTTGTGGGGATGAAGTAGACAGCAAGGGAGGGAGGGAGTACGGGTGCAGACAAACGCATTCTAACTTGGGAGCTAGAATAAGCGATCTTCAGCGACCTTGGCCCCACTCTGGCCTTTGGAGTTGGATTAGTAAAGATCTCTAAATAATAATAATGATGATGATGATAATAATAAGGCTAGGACCCTGATGTCAGGATCAGGAGAGGTGGGAGCCAAGCACCTAGCTAAGGAATTCTTCACTTGCTTGGAGATTAACCCTTCTGTGCAGACTGGTCTGTCTGGGTTACCAGAAGGGTTTGCTGATGTCCGATTGTGTTACAGGGTCGTGTATGATTTCATTGGTATCCACCCAGCTTCAGTATGAGCGCCTCTTTAACACCCTTGGTGGTTCTTAAGTGCCCTGGAGTCTGTTTCATCTCATAGTAACACCATGTAAGAGAGTAGAGGTGCCCATCCTTTTGCAAGGTTTAAGGACTTTCTTTTGATATTTTCTGCAGACATAAAATGAGGTCAGTTTTTTAAAAATATTTCCTCATTGTTTGGATTTTTCTTCTATTTCTAGATTTTAAGAATACATTAGCGAATGCTTCCCATGTGTTTCTTTGAGGTAGCATACGAGAATTGTCTATTTCTTGACAGAGTGATAGAACGAAATTGGACAATGGCTGGTTCTGGTGCAATTTGCTTAGTAGAATCTTTCATTTCTCTTTCATGTTTTAGAATCTAATCCATTCATATTTTTAGGGCTTCTCATCAGTCCTTTAATTGGTTTTAGTAACTCAAAAATTCAAATACTTTTTCCCTAGAAAGCCAACAGCAAACTGTTTTAAAAAACTTTAAAGTAATTTTAATGAGAACTTTTTACAAACCAAAAATCAAGGTGCTACTTACAGGTTATCTTCATTTTCTTATTAAAAAATGAAACAAAAACACTGCCATTGAGTTGATTCTGACTCATAGCAACCCTAGAGGACAGAGTAGAACTGTTACCATAGGGGTTCCAAAGCCGTAAGTCTTTACCAAAGCAGACTGCCTCATCTTATGCTCATCTTTCTCCCACGGAGCAGCTGATGGGTTCAGACCACCAACTTTTAGGTTAACAGCCGAGTGCTTTAACCACCGTGCCACGGCAGCTCTTTATTTTCTCATTAGAGTCATGAACTGACTTTTATGTAGACCTTGTAAATAAGCCTTTTCTGCCATTTCAGTGTCATTAAACAGTATCCTGAGATTTCCAGGCAAGCTGGATTTTAAAATCACGTTTACGTATTCTCATCTGAATGGATTAAGATTCTTTTTAAGCCTACAATCTAAGAAAAATACAGAAATAAATTCATTTCTCAGGTTTTAATTGTCCTTCATAACCATTGGTTTTAAATTTTTGTGTAACTCATGCGCCCCAAATCTTCTATTATTAGTTAGGTCACTCATGCTACTATAACAGAAATACCCCAAGTGGATGGCTTTAACGAACAGAAGTTGATTCTCTCAAAGGTTAGGAGGCTACAAGCTCAAATTCAGGATACCAGTTCTGGAGGAAGGCTGCCTCTCCTGGTGTCTCTTGGTCCCTTGGAGCTTTGGTAGTATAGCAGGTAAGGCATTTGGCTGCTAACCAGGAGATTGGCTGGTTCAAACCCACCAGCTGCTTTGTGGGCAGAAGATGAGGCAATTTAATTCCATAAAGATTTATAGTCTTGGGAACCCAATGGAGGTCACTGTGAGTTGGAATTGACGCAATGGCAGTGGTCTGGTCTGGTCTCTTGGTCACGGGAGGATCCCAGTTCAGGGACCCTGGGTCCAAAGGACACGTTCCACTCCTGGTTTTTCTTTCGTGGTGGTAGTAGGTTCCCCACTCTCTCTGCTCCCTTCTCTTTCCTTTTTAACTCCTGTAAGAGAAAAGGTATTGCAGGGCACACCCCAGGGAAGCCCCTCTTACATTGGATCAGGCCTGTGATGGGAGGAAGGTGGTGCACTGACTCTAACCCTTGAACAGTGGCTTGGCTTATTGCATCAGATCACATCACAGAGGATCATTACATAACTGCCGAACCACTGAGAATCATGGCCTAGCCCAGTTGACACATATTTTTTTGGGACACAATTCACTCCAAGACAGTTGATTTTATAATAAGTAAATTTGGAACATATATAACATTAAAAAATTTTTTATTTTTTATTTTTGCAATGTTCCCTCCCCTCTCCTCCCCCTCATAACCAACAAAGAAAGTTTCCTTCCATATATAAACCTTTCCTTGACTTTTTACAGTAATGAACTAAAACAATATTTGTCCTTCTGTGATTGACTTATTTCACTTGGCATAATGGGCAATCTACTTCTGTAGTGATACTGCCTCGGAAACCCAAGGTGGGGTTGCTATGAGTCGGGTCTGACTCGATGGCACATAACAACAACAACAATGTCCTCCAGGTTCATCCACATTATGCAGTGTTTTGCAGATTCTGTGTTATTCTTTAGGGTTGCATAGTATTCCATTGTGTGTATGTACCATAAGTTGGTTATCCATTCCTTTGTTGGTGGGCACCTAGTTTGTTTCCATCTTTTTTGCTATTGTAAATAGTGTTGCGATGAACATGGGCGTGCAACTGGTATTTCTAATTCTAACTTTTTCAGGAATCACCATACTGCTTTCCACAGTGGTTGTATCATTTTATAGTCCCACCGGTGGTGTATGAGAGTCCCAATCTCTCCACATCCTCACCAGCATTTGTTATTTTCTGTCTTGTTGAACTTTGCTATTAGTGCTGGGGCCAGATGGTATCCCGTTGTTTTGATTTGCATCTCTCTAATGGCTAATGATATGGGAGCTCTGGTGGCATAGTGCCTAAGACATTTGACTGCTAGCCAGAAGGCTGGTGGTTCAAACCCACCAGCCACTTCTTGGAAGGAAGATTGTGCAATCTACTTTCATAGAGATACCAGCTTTCCAACCCAAGAAGAGGTCGCTGTGAGTTGAATCAGAGTCAACTCAACCATAATTGTAAATAAATTCACTCCAATAAACTATGGTTTTAATTTCTCTGTTGGAGTTTTGTGTAAGACCTCATCTCATACAAATCTCTGAAAAGCTGTTTGAGAAACGTAGAGCAAATAAATTAGCACATTCTTACTTAACAGAAATCAACTGCCTTCGCCCTAGAATGTTGTCAACTCTCACTTTTCTCATTTTCAGGAGATTCTCTCTTCTCACCCTTTCCCAACCCTCTGCCCCAAACATGGGGTGTTTTCAAGCCTTTGCATCTGGTTGTCTTGCAGACGCCACTCCTCGGGAAGGTGGCACCAGCAGTCCAGCAGGATCTTGTTCCTCAGAGGAAGATAAACCCAAGAGTCTGAAGGCACCAGGCAGCCAGGAAGGTGAGGGAGCAGCCAGCCTGCAGTCCGGCCAGCCCCAGGCTGGGAGGGGGCCCCAGAAGAAATGCCAGGACAGGAGGAGAGACCAGAGCCTGGATGGGCAGGGCAAGCCAGGGGCCAGGAGCATGACCCTGCCTTCCAGGAAAGGCCCTTCCCTGCCTGTGGGCAGGCTGCCTGGGGAGAAAGGCTGCACCTCCAGCCCCAGCTCCAGCCTGCGCAGGAACGCCAACTCCACTAGCAAGCTCCAGGACCTCTCCAGCTGCTCATTGTCCGGCTCCCTGGGAAGGAGACACTCTAAGAGAACTGAAGGCAAGCAGCGACCCAGGAGCCTTGAATTGACCTTTTCTTCAGGAGAGAAGGGCCCTTTAAACCCAGAAACCCTCCTGACTCTACAGGAGATGAAAATAGTGTCTCCAGATCCAATAGCCACCCCCAGGGCGGTGGCCACTGTAGATTTCGAGGGCCTGGTGGCGCCAGGGGAAGCTTCCAGGAGTCCAGAGCGTCCCATGAAGCAGGAGGGAAGAGCATTCAGAAACACACTCACCAGTGTGCCCTTGACTGCAGGGGAGGAAACCCCGGAACATCGGGAACCCACAGCTCCCTCGGGGGAAAAACAAACCAGGAGTCCAGAGGCCCCAGGGACACTCCGGGAGCCTTTGGATCCAGAAGCCCCTCCATCTTTGGGGAGGAAAGGACCTCAGAACCCAGAACAGCTAAGGCTGTCCTTAGGCCTGGAGGCCTGTGAAGGTATAGCCCCCAATATCCTTTAGTCCCAATGTATTTAAATCACTAGGAGCCCTGATGACACAGTGGTTAAGTGCTCAGCTGCTAACTGAGAGATCAGCAATTCCCAGCCACCTGCAGCTCTTGTCAGGAGAAAAGACCTGGCAACCCAGTCCTGTAAAGACTAGCCTAGGGACCCTGTGGGGAGTTGGGATCGGAGCAAAGACACACACCATTAGGCTAACCTCTTGACCTGACGTAGGAAACTGGAGGTGTGGGTGCTTTTTTATATCCTTGCATCCCTGGGGCAGAGGTCCCCACCCCCTTTGAAAATCTAATGCAGCATGTGGGCCCTGAAATGACACATAAGTGTACTTCTTCACAGAATATCACGTCGAATGTCAGTGAGTTCTTGGACACTCTCAAGTCCATTAGAATTCCAAAGGCTTCATGGGCCCAGGTAAGGACCAGAAAGACTGGGTAAGAATAGCCCATTCTCACCATGACTCCAAGGGCCCCTCTTTCAGGGCAGCAGAGAGAGCCTTCTGGCTAAAATGCTTGGCATTCTTTCATCAATCAGGAATAATGAGGATTACGGCTGGTTGTAGAAAGGAGCTTTGGTAGGGCAGTGGTTAATGCATTCAGCTGCTAACCAAAAGGTCAGTGGTTTGAACCTGCCAGCTGCTCTGCATGAGAATGATGAGGCAGTTGCCTTCTATAAAGATTGACAGCCTAGGAAACCCTGTGGAGCAGTTCCATTCTGCCCTCTAGGGGCGCTGTGAGTCAGAATGGACACCATGGCAGCGGATGTGGTTTGGGCTTTGCTTCCATGAAGACTGACTGACAGTTCCACTCTGGCCTCTAGGGGCGCTGTGGGTCAGAATCGACTCCACGGCAATGGGTTTGGTGGTTGATTTTTTTTTCCCTCTTGACTGAGAATGACAGAAATGCCAGAGTCCTGTGGTTTAAACAAGATAGAAGCTAATTCCTCTTTTATAGAAATGATGCACAAGTCTGACCCAGGATGGATGTGGCACTCCATGGATCAGGGATCGAGCTATCTGTTGTTCTTCCTTTCCACCAAGTTTGTTCTCCAAGCTCATGGTCTCAGGTGGTGGCATCCTCATTCCAGACACAAGGGGGAGTTAGTGGGGACCAAGTGCATGTGGTCACTTAGGGAAGTTTCTGGAAGCTTCCTAGACACCTCCATTTATGTTCCTTTAGTCAGATGCACCACTTGCCTGCAAGGAAGGTTCAGACTTCAGGGGAGGGACTAAGGAGCAGCCGAACGAGCAGCCATCGATTCCGTCACCAGGGAAGAAGGGGCCAATGTTATGGGGTGGCCACTAGCAGTCTTGTTTACAGATGTGGCATGAGTTCCTGGAAATTTTGAAGGGGGTGGTGGGAGAGGACCACGGCAATGGCTTGAGTGTGTTTCTATCTCTTGTTGCATCTCCTGTCATTTCGGCTCTTTGAAGCTGCTATTCTGACCTTGGTCAGAGCTATTCATAACTGTTATATCCTCATAGTTCCTTATCCGTCCTTATAACTCCTTACGTGAGTTATACCCTTTAGTATGATAAGGTCCCCTCTTCTTCTTCGTTGAGTGCTTCTTGAACTTGGATGTGAGCAGTGGTCCATCTGTTTGAATGAAGATTCAACACACATTTCCCAGATGCTAACCATGTGTGGCTTCTCAGCTGAGGCTGGGAACAGGCTAGGAGCAAACCGGTCACCGTGCCTCCCTGGAGCTCCCAGTCTGATTACAAGCAGCCTGGGCTGGATTTAAGGGGCAAAGCCAAATACTGATTGGAATGGCTTGCTCTTTTGTGTCACCTGCTAGATCCGTGTGTGCCCAGAGGAGCCCAGAGGACTTCCAACAAAAGGCCTGCTCTTCTTTCTTTTCTCTCTCCCTCTTTTTTTTTTTTTACTTTTCTTGTGCACAAGACATTCGCCAACATAACATCTTCCGTATTTACAGCTTGGGGCCATTGATGACATTTTTCATGTTGTGCCACCATTATTTCTATCCTTTTCCAAAATATTCCACCACCGTTAGCATGAACTCAGTGCCCCGCAAACACAAGCTTCCCCTTCTCCCCTCCCTCCTACCTCTGATAACCACTAAGAATCTTTGGGATTATATGTTTATGTGTATATATATATATATATATATATATATATATCTCCACCCCCAGCTCATCTGGGAAATCCCCTCACACCCCTGGTAACCAACAAAGCATGTTCCCTTCCATGTATGAACCTTTCCTTGCCACTGGTCTTTAGAATAAATACCTACTAATGCCAGGAATTCCAAGTCTTAGGAAAATCACCAGCCCTTAGCCCTTGGTCCCAGTGGCTTGTTTGCTGCCTCACTGGATGGGAGTCCAGTGGAAGGGAGCTGGGACTTGGTCCAATTCTAACCGAGAACTCCTTCCAGCTTCCGTCCCCCTCTGCCGGGATTGCTGCCTGGATCCCACCCCCTCTGCCGGCATTGCTGACGCCTCTGTTACCATCTGGCTTTTGCCATTCAGGAGGTTTTCTATTGCCTTGTCCCCAGGGAGGCCACAGGAAAGAGACCCGGTTGACAGTACCTGTGTGCACGATTCCAGTAGGTGCTCCGAGAAACAAGGGGCCTTGGGCAGCTGCTCCCTCAGCTGCCCCCAGGGCCAGGTCCTGCTCCCAAAGCAGCAGCCGGGCAGCCTCAGCCCCGGGTCCCCACCCCAGTGTGAGCGTCACATGAAGCAGCTCTGCCTGCTCTTCTGCGAGGACCACCAGAAGCCTGTCTGCCTTATCTGCAGCCTGAGCCAGGAGCACCGAGGCCACCAGCTACACCCCATTGAGGAGGCCGCCCTGGACTACCAGGTAGGTGCGCCCCATCTGGGGACTCCTTTCCACGAAGTGCTTGCATACACCTGGCCTGGCCTCACTTTCCATGCAACCCTGGACTCGAGGGCTGCAAATGAGAGAACCATAAGCCAGCCAGGCCAGCAGGAGGGACCTGACTAGCTCGTGTAGGTCAGAGGGCCACTGCAAAAAGGGCACGGAGGTGGTGTCTTCTGACCTCTAACTTCACGAAGGGGAGACAGTCACCACCAGCAGCACAAGGCCAGACATGCCACGACTCTCCAGCCTTGTACCAACTCTGACTCCAACAGTGCCTCCCCCGGCACTCACTGCTTCTCTGCTGGGTTCGATAATTCGCTGCAATGGCCGCACGGAACTCACAGACAATCCTCGTGACGATGGGGTTTATTAGGGAGGGAACAGGCCACACCTGAGGTTCCGGGACACTCTCAGGATGCAGTTCTTCAGTCAGCACAGTCCCCTCCGCTGTGCCCTCAGACACAGCTCTCTGGCCGTTGGCCTCCCGGCCTGGCCTCTGCCCTGCTTAGGTAAGTGTCACAAAGCTCTTTGAACTCTGCCAAATAGGTACATGTAGGTGCAGCCCACTCTGCCAGCAAGCCCCCTGCCCAAGGGCACCCAGCTTCCTCGAGTCCCTGCTGTGTGTGGTGCCTCTTGCTTCCTTAGCCTGTTGTCTCAGTGGGTCGTCTCTGCCGTCTTTCTGTGAAGGTGGTCTCATGCAGGGATCTTGAGTCCAGAGATGCACTCCAATCCAACTCTGGTTCTTCTCTCCTAATGGCAGTGAAATTCCCCCCTTTTACCTCTAGGAGGGCTCATTTTAAGCCCAACAGCATAGCAAAACTAACCAATCCTCACATTAGCATTCCATATACCTTATTTGCATGGTCCCACCCAGTAATCTGGTGGGAGTCATAAAGACTGTGGCTCAAAAAGCCATCCCAAGCAGCTCAGGGAATTGTGGCTTCAAGTATGATTGAATCGAGCTCCTAGAGGTCACTGGGACTGTCTGGCTCACCGTCTCTTGGATCTGCTTCTCTTGGTGATGTAGTCAGCCTTCCCCTTCCCCTGTACCCCCAATAGCAGCACCATCAGCTTTGCTCCCAGGGCCAGAGCTTTTCTTCTAGGGTTAGCCCTGGCTACAGATGGCAGGACCCACTGAAACTTTGTGATGATGGCTCTTTCTCCAGGATCAAATCCATTGGCAGCTGGAGCATCTGAAGGAGCTGAGAAAATCTGGGGAAGAGCAGAAACATCAGGGGGACAAAGAGACAGCCAACTTCCTGGTAAGACCAGGCGTGGCTGGTGGCCAGCCCTTGCCCAGGTTCATCCCTGCAGAGGGAGGGAGGGGACCGAGAGTAGGGGTCCCCAAGATTCCATTCTGGCTCATGGGGAAGCAGAGATGATGACCTATTGTGATGAGCACCAGCTCCTGGTGAGTGGAGAGGAGACTGGCATCCAAGGATAGCCTGTCCCTGCAGAGGGAGGAGCCCCCAGCAGGCAGGGGCCACTTCCAAGGCCCTTGTCCCACTTTCTCATACATATTATTAATATCATGTGCAGTAAAATTTTGCTGAAGATCATTCAAAAATGGTTGCAGTAGTATATTGACAGGGAACTGCCAGAAATTTAGGCCAGATTAAGAAGAGGGTGTGGAATGAGGGATATCATTGCTGAGGGCAGATGGATCTTGGCTGAAAGCAGAGAATACCAGAAAGTTGTTTACATGTTTTATTGACTATGTGAAGATACTTGACTTTGTGGATCATAACAAATTATGGATAATATTGTAAAGAATGGGAATTCCAGAACACTTAAATGTGCTCATGAGGAACCTGTACATAGACCAAGACGCTGTAGTTCGGACAGAACAAGGGGATACTTCCTGGTTTAAAATCAAGAAGGGTATGCATCAGGGTTGAATCCTTTCACCATAATTATTCAATCTGTATGCTGAGGAGATAATGCTAGAAGCTGGCCTAGATGAAGAACGTGGCATGAGGATTAGAGGAAGACTCTAATCTCTAAGATTAAGAACCTGTGATTTGCAGATGACACAACTTTGCTTGTTGAAAGTGAAGATGACTTGAAGCACTTACTGATGAAGATCAAAGACTAGCTTTCAGCATGGGTTACACTTAAACATAAAGAAAACAAAAATCCACACAACTGGGCCAATAAGCAACATCACGTTAAATGGAGAAAAGATGGAAGTTTTCAGGGATTTCATTTTACTTGGATTGACAATCAATGCACATGGAAGCAACAGTCACGAAATCAGATGACATATTGCAATGGCCCAAACTGCTGGAAAAGATCTCTTTAAAATGTTGTGTTAGACTGGGTTCTCTAGAGAAACAAAACGAGTAAAGCTTACATCGAGAAAAAAAGAGAAATTTATCTTAGGAAAATGGCTCACACACTTACAGAAGCTGGCAAGTCCCAAGTTCTTGGATCAAACGTCAAGCTGGAGGCTTTTCCTAACTCGTGCTCCTTCACTGGCTGACGAGCTCAAGATTGGCAGGCAGTATACTGGCTGTTGACTCCAATGAATGACGTATCCAAGATCTCCAGGACAAATGGTGAATTGTTTCCTCACAGACATGTAGGCAGCACAACAGAATCCTGATCCACAGAAGAGTGTCTCTTTTCCCAGAATGCCCATAAATATACTGGAAGCAGGCCACACCCCTAGCGAAACTCCCTTTCAACAGATTGACTGCTCAAAACATATATGTCTGATCCCATCATTGGAACAACCCGCATCACAATTGCTTAAACCACACAGAATTGTGGTCCAGCCAAGTTGATACCCAGCTCCAACTATCCATCCTTGTCAACTTGGCAGTTGTACACATCTTCTTAACCATATATAATCCCTAAATAAGGACAGTTATAAAGTCATATTTGCACCTAACATGATACGTTGACACACATACAACTGAAATGCATTAACCTTATTTACATTTCATGGTTCATAATAGAAGGAAACAAAAAGACTCGAGGCACATATATAATGAAGAAATATGACCGTCACACTCCTTGTTTCTACAACTGGTCACGTGATTGTAGCTGATATTCAGAACTACCTTCTTCCACCACCCATTCCGTATTTCCCTTGCCCTCAGCAAGCACCTCAGCTGGTCATGGTTCTTTGCCTGGTGGGGTGCCCCAAACCTTCATTCCTGAAGGGTCTGTGCTGTTAGCAGTCATATCAGAATTGGGTTGCTGTAATTTTCCATTGACTTCAATCACAGGGCATGGTAGTACTAAGAGACGTCCTAAAGAATCTCCTGTATTCCAGACATATTCTTCTTTACCTCCATTATGTAATGCCAATCCAATTTCCCCTTGGTAATCAGGATCTATCACACAAGATAGTACAGTAATACCCTTCTTTGTCTGTTGATCCAGAGGCATGAGGAAGCCAAAATGGCTGGGTGGCATTCTTAATTTCCAGTTCAATGCAATCAGTATTGTGTCTCCAGGTGGGACTAAGATCTTCAGACCCGCAGAGCGTAGGGTAGCAGGGACAGGAAGCAAAGGTTTTTTTGAGTGGGTCACTTGGGGTAATAGTGAGTGGTACCACTCTCATTTCCACACCTTGGTTCCTAGACCCGTGAATCCTAGCTATTGGAGGAACAGCACCATATATCGGATGCTGATTTAGAGCATATACAGCCTCCCGAATGGTTGGTTGCCCCAACCATTCAAGGTATTGCTACCTAACTGGCACCATAATTGTGTTTTCAGTAGGCCATTCCATCGTTCAATCAAGCCAGCTGCTTCAGGATGATGGGGAGCATGGTAAGACCAGTGAATTCCATGAGCATGATCCCATTGCCACACTTCATTTGCTGTGAAGTGAGTCCCTTGATCTGAAACAGTGCTGTGTAGGATACCATGATGGTGGATAAGGCATTCTATGAGTCCATGGATGGTAGTTTTGACAGAAGCATTGTGTGCAGGGAAGGCAAATCCATATCCAGAATAAGTATCTATTATAGTAAAAGCAAAACACTGTCCTTTCCATGATGGAAGTGGTCTAATGTAATCAACCTGCCACCATGTTGCTGGCTGATCACCCTGAGGAATGGTTCCATATCGCGGACTCACTTTTGGTCTCTGCTGCTGGCAGACTGGGCACTCAGCAGTGGTGGTAGCCAAATCAGCCTTAGTAAGTGGGAGTCCATGTTGCTGAGCCCATGCATAACCTCCATCCCTGCTACCATGGCCACTTTGTTCATGAGCCCATTGAGCCATGACAGAAATAGCTGGGGAAAAGGGATGGCTGGTTTCTACTGAACGTGTCATCCTATCCACCTGATTGTTAAAGTCCTCCTCTGCTGAGATCACCTTTTGGTGGGCGTTCACGTGAAACACATATATCTTTATTCCTTTGGCCCAGTCAGAGAGCTCTATCCACATTTTTCTTCCCCATATGTCCTTGTCACCAATTTTCCAATCATGCTCCTTCCAAGTCCCAGACCATCCAGCCAAGCCATTAGCCACAGCCCATGAATCCATATACAGTCACACATCTGGCCATTTCTTGTTCCATGTAAAGTGAACAGCCATATGGACGGCTCGAAGTTCTGCCCATTGGGAGGATTTCCCTTCACCACTGTCCTTAAAGGAAGTCCCAGAAAGGGGCTGCAGTGCTGCTGCTGTCCACTTTTGAGTGGTGCCTGCATATCACACAGAACCATCCATAAACCAGGCACGAGTTTTCTCTTCCTCAGTCAACTGATCATAAGGAACTCCCCATGAGGCCATAGGTGCAGACTGGGAGAGGGAAGGTAATGTGACTGGAGTGGAGACCACAGGCATTTGGGCCACTTCCTCATGCAACTTACTTGTGCCTTCAGGTCCTGTTTGAGCCCGATTTCTGACATCCCACTTCCATTTAATGATGGAGCGCTGCTGTGCACGTCCAACTTTATGACTCTGTGGATCAGACAACACCCAGTTCATGATGGGCAGCTCAGGCCTCATGGTGACTTGGTGGCCCATGGTTAGGCATTCAGTCTCTACTAAAGCCCAGTAGCAAGCTAAAAGCTATTTCTCAAAAAGGAGAGTAGTGATCTGCAGAAGATGGCAGGGCTTTGCTCCGAAATCCCAAGGGTTTGCATTGTCACTCACCAATAGGGACCTGTCAAAGACTCTGTTCTGGTTACCTAGTACTGCTTTGACGAGAAATATACCACAGTTGGGATGGCCTTAACGAACAGGAGTTTATTCTTACAATTTGGAGGCTTTAAGTCCAACTTCAAAGTGCCAGGCTCTAGGGGCTGGGTGAAAGCCCCTCAACCTTGGGGTCCAGCTTCGCCTCCTGCTCCCAGCCCACTGGAGCTAGAGGCATTTCTTCACTCAGACAGCTGCAGGCTGCTGAGGCTGAGAAGCCCCAAGGTTGACAAGTCAAAAGGCACAGTCCTGATATTACCAAACCACACGGCAGGCCATTAACTTAAGTTCATTGTAAGTCCCAAGGTTGGCAGAGCATAGCAGGTTGCTGAGCAGTGACACGGCTATGTGCAGGGTCCAAGCATGCCATAGGCTAGAGACCATTCCCAAGGCTTATCCTTAAATATAGGAAGCAGACCACATCCCCAAAGGCAGCTACTCAGCTGCTTGTGGTAGATCTCACCATGGAGCTGATTGCCAGTCTCATCATGGGGAATAACTACCACCAGCTGCCCAGCTCCTCAACCAGGCCCAGCCAAGTTGACACACAAACATCATTACTATAGATTCCAAACAGCATTTCTATCTACTACAGACACTTCCAGCACCATTGGATCAGCTGGATCATATAGCCCAAGTGGCAGAGCAGCCTGCATGGCAGCCTGAACCTGTTGCAGAGCCTTCTGTTGTTCTACTCAAAACTAGCAGCTTTCCAAGTCAGTTGATAAATAGGCCACAGCAACACACCCAAATGAGGGATATGTTGCCTCCAAAATCCAAAGAGGCCCACCAGACATTGTGCCTCCTTTTTAGTTGTGGAGGAAGCCAGATACAACTTACTCTTCACTTTAGTATTCCATCTTGACATGCCCCACACCATTGGACCCCTAGAAATTTCATTGAGGTGGGAGGTGCCTGAATTTTTGTTGGGTTAACTTCCCAACCTCTAGCATGCATATGTCTCACCAATAAGTCTAGAGTCATCGATACTTCTTCCTTACTAGGTCCATTCAGCATAATGTCATCATATAATGGACCAGTGTGATGTCTTGTGGTAGAAGGGAAAGGCGATCAAGATCTCTACGGACTAAATTATGACATA